ATAGTCACGAGTTTTATCATGGTGGTAGTGGGTGGTATTCGACACCAGTTCCGAGAAAGAAGAGTTAGAAGACAATGAAGAGAGAGAAGAAAGTGAAGAAAGTCATAATTGTATATATATATATATATTGAGATTACCACACTATACCATATGGTAATGTGTCCATACCATATGGTAATGTGTCCATACCATATGGTAACGTGTCCATACCATATGGTAACGTGTGGTAACGAAATGTATTTTTATGAATATCATGTTTTTACTATGGTCGTAGAGGGTTGTAATTAGATTTACATGGTTTTACCTTCTCATACCATGTGGTATTATATGGTACTTATAATTAATTTGTGGTCCTTTGATTTACCATGTTCTACTATGGTGGTATTGTATGCTAGTTAGATTTATAATTTTCTGTAGCGTGGTTTACCAAGTTATACCATGTGGTGGTAGTTTGATTTGTAATTTTATTTTAGCATGTTATACCATATGGTATGGTATGGTATGGTAATTAGATTTGTAAATCTCTGTAGCATGTTTTACCACGTTATACCATGTGGTATTGTATGGTAGTTAGATTTTTAATTTTCTTCAACATATTTTACCATGTTTTACCACGTTTTACCATGTGGTATTGTATGGTAGTTAGAATTGTAATTTTCTTCAACATATTTTACCATGTTTTACCATATTTTACCATGATAGTAGAAAGTGATAATCATATTTATACTTGTAATTAGTGTCTTTAACAATGTATTATTTAACGAAAAAAGCATCATTCAATTTGAGCTGGAATTAGTTTAGAGATAGTTAGGATGGTTAGATTCATTTTTGTTGAGAGAGAAGAAATAACATATATTTTTCTTTTAATAATAAAATAAAACAAAGAGTGAGAGAAACGGGGGACCAAACAACCAGTGTGGGGTGGGGAGTGGGATCCGCGTCGCGTCAGCGCGTCAGCGCGTCAGAGACATCATTAAATAGGGGTGCAATTTTACCTTAGTGCCCCTCCGTGTTTTTTTTAAATAAAAAGAAAAAGCTGACACGTGGGGGCCAGGGGAAGGGGTTACTGATGGTTACTGATGGAATGGTTACTGAGGTGATCCGGTCCCCCACTTGCATTGGAAAATCTGCATATTTGCTTATTAACACGTTTAGTTAACATTTCTTACTCTGTATCTCTATTTGTAAGTTGAATGTCGGAGAGGAAAAAATCTACATCCTTTGGCTCACAGTTCTCTGTCCTCCGCTCCGCTCTCTAATTGTCAGCACCCCCGGGCGGAACCTCATTCTCGTTCAAATGTTTGGTTAAAACCTGCCGCCAACTTTCTTGCTTTCCATTTTAGCTTCCTCATTGGAAGTTAGGGTTGACACTACATATTGCAACTTCAAGTTGCACAAGAGCCTTTTATGCTATAAAGTTAAGGACTTTGCTACGGTGACATGCATGTCACGGTGACATGCACTTTTCGGTCGACCTCATATAAGATCAGGTCGACCTAATCAGTTGTTTCAGTGTACAAACAGTTTCATGGTGCCTACTTTGGAGATTCATATCTTACAATTGGCTAGATGGAAATTGGAGATTAAAGGCTTGTTTTGAAGCTGAAGTGTCCCTCTACACATTAAAGTACTTGGAAGCTCAATAGAAAGTCCAGAAGACCATTTTTGAACCTGACCAAAAGGCTATGCCAAAACTGGGAAACTGCCTGAAATTGGCTAAGTCTGGCAACGTGTTTGTCAAGCCTACTTTGGAGCTCAATTTCACAAGCATGGATGCGAGTCAAGTCCAGGGGCCTTTACCACGTTAAATTACGTATTTTTTTATACAAATGCAAGGCATTGAATGAAAGATTGAATATCTTTAAGGCTTCAAACAAAAGGCTCGAAGTTGCTACGAAGGCTGTTTTTCTGGCAGCTTGCTTGTGCTCGAAGTCTGCCAGAAAAACAGCCTTCGTAGCAACTTCGACCCTTTTGTTTGAAGCCTTAAAGATATCCAATCGTTCATCCAATTCCTTGAATTTGTATAAAAACATACCTAATTTAACGTGGTAGAGGCTCCTGGACTCGACTCGCATTCATGCTTCTCGAATTGAGCTCAAAAATAGGCTTCACAAACACGTTTCCAGACTTAGCCATTTCCAGGCAGTTTCCCAGTTTTGGCATAGCCTTTTGATGAGGTTCAAAAATGGTCTTCTGGACTTCCTATCGAGCTCTCAATCACTTCAATATGTAGAGGGACACTCCAACTTCAAAACAAGTCATTAGTCTTCAATTTCCATCTAGCCAATTGTATGATATGAATATCCAAAGTAGGCACCATGAACTGTTTTTACACTGAAACAACATATGAGGTCGACCGAATCCTAAATGAGGTCGATCGGATCCTATATGAGGTCGACCGAATTCTATATGAGGTCGACCTAATCCTAACTGAGGTCGACCGGAAAGTGCAAGTCACCGTGACATGCATGTCACCGTAGGCACACCCTAAAGTTAATCAAGAGCGAACTTCAAAATCTGTTTTATGAATGAATGTTTAGTTTTGTACGTCGAAAAAAGTTTGATCGCACGACAAATATATTTTACAAACCTATCTGAATATGAAAAGTTTTTGTATGTCACTATGAAAAAAAAGAAATTATGACCTTAACAAATTAATATTTATTTTATTTTTTATTTAATACATTCAATTTATTAATTTTTTTTTGTCAACCGACACACCTTACAAATAATGTTGGGCCCGCCACTGCCTGGCTGCTTCCTCCCAGACCTAAGGGAAGAAGAATAGAATAGCGACTCCCAACGGTGATTCCAACTCGCTGATGAAGGAGGACTTAATTAAATTTTATCCCTAAACCAATTTTTATACCTAAACCAATTTCTCTGCTGCAGAGGAGTAGCCAGAGTCGGGTTCAAGTGGAAGAAGGAAAGGTAGTGTTCTGGCGTAGGTTTTGATTTTTAATTGAATGATATAGGGATAAAAATTAATTATATCGAAATTAGGAATTAATAAGGGACAATAAGGTTATTTTACAATCAATTAAACGGTTATGTAACAGAAAATTGGATGGAAGAAAACAATCGTTATGTTTTAATATTAGAAGGGTATGTTTGTGGAAAAAAATAGTAAATGGGGTACGTTTTAATTGCCAATTGCAAAGTGGTACAAAATGTTATTAATCCAAAATTTTACTCTCTGTGTCTGTTAATCTACGTGGATCACCTTACTTTATGGAGGATTGGCCTTTGTAATAATGCCGGAAATTAATTTTCTAAAAAGACAAGTAAATATCAAGTATTTTTATGAATAAAAGATCAACTAATTAAGCATGAAAGTGGTGTTGACATTTGGAATTGCTCATACATTCCTTATTGGGTAGAAGTGTGCAATAGAGCTTTGATTCCTAAGATTAAGCTCCACGCCTCCATGTCATAGATAGGATTAAAAGTAGACCAAACACTGCTGGTAAAAACATTTTTGTTGGGTAAATGTATTTTTGTCAACCATTTACAAACAGTAATGATGTATAATGTATTATATGCACAAAAAATGCAAAATGTACATATAGACTCAGCTCATAGATACTTAGCAAGAAATGTAACAGTTAGCTTGATTTATAGGGTTATTTTAGTGAGATTGTTAAGGTGCTAGTGTTTTTAGAATACAACTTTTTTTTACTACTTTTATGTACACTACAAACAAGACATGTATTGTGTAGTTGATGTGACAAACAAACCTAGTTTTAACTTTTAAGACAATATTGTTGGATTATTCGGTTGAATTTGTTTGATTTGTTGTTATTTTAGTTTTATTTTTGAACAATTATTTTTTGGAGATTGCTAATTATTGCGCTAATGTTTACGATAATTGCCCTAACATAAATACTACAATTACTTTTTACCCGTTTCTTTTCTATTTTTTTTTTTTTTTTTTTTTTTTGAACAAGCAAATTCATTTAACAATTAAAAAGAGTTACAATTGGAATTCTATTTCCGTTCTCTCACATCTCCGTTTCCTTTCTCCCGGCAATATGTTCCCACCAAGGTTGTCAAACCGGTTTATGCCAGTGTGCCGGTTTAGCAAGTGGAATGGTTCAACCGGTGGCACATACCGGTTTGTGCCGGTTCATGCCGGTCAATATTACAAATAAAATTATAAATACTCATATTTAAACATGACATTTAACGTCAATACCTAAACATTTATACTTGAATCCAACAAATAACATCAATATTTAACTTTTATAATCATAAAATAAATAATAAAATAATTTTTATCAATTAAATTCTCTAAAATAAGATCATTTTACTTAGAGATTTGTATATCGATCATGCCGGTCATACCGGTGGTGTCACGCCGGTTTTATGACCGGTACCGGTTGAACCAGGTACAACCGGTGGCACGCCGGCCGGCGTGACAACCATGGTTCCCACAAAATCGTCAAAGATTCCTTCGTCCCCTCTTCTTCTCCAGTGTGCTCCGGACATACTATGGGTGGCTTAATCCAAGCCCAGAAGTTTGTTGTGTTTGAGGGTTTTGGGTTTTCAAGGGAAGAATGCATTGCAATGTTCAAAATAGCTCCACCCATGTTGTGGTGCTTTAATTTGATGCAAAATTATGCCTTATTTACTTCCCATTTTATTTTCTGTTGTGTCAATAGAAATCAGGAAACAAATGACAAAAACATGTTTACTTGCAATTTTGTTTTTCTGAAAAAAACCATTTGACATAAATGGGGTAGCTGAGGGATAACGTTAAAATAAGGTTTTTAAGATTCTATGGGCCGGGTTTCTCCTCCATTTCCAGCGGAAAACGGGAAAATTCCCAAAATACATATGTTTTTAAAACAAATTCTCAAAATACATATGTTATAGAAACTATTCCCAATCTACACATGTTTGGACTTCACCACTGCCGTCAATCACAGTGAATAATATCACCGCGACCGTCAAAAGCGATGAATGTTCACCGCCACAATTAGGTGCGGTGAATACTTTCAGGCCATTCACCGCTGGTGTCCCAAGCGGTGATGGCCTAAATAATTGTTGGCCCAAATATATTCCCCATGTGTTAACGGTGGCGAAGAAGATGATGCATCTCTGTTCCCCAGCACCACCTAGGGTTGGATTCGAAAACCATCGTCGCCGTCGTGTTCCCCAGCACCTGCAGCGTCAGCGAGCTCCACGTCACCGCCGCCATCGCCGCCGTCGCGTTCCCCAGCACCTGCAGCGTTAGCGAGCTCCACGTCACCGCCGCCATCGCCGCCGTCGCGTTCCCCAGCACCTGCAGCGTCAGCGAGCTCCACGTCACCGCCGCCACATTCCCTTCGATGTACAGCGTGAACGGCAGCAGAATCATCACCGCCATCGACGCCATGTACAACAACAGATTCATCGAGTGAAGTTTCTAGGCCTCGGATGTCAGGAAATAGAAAATGTCGAATTGATATTCCAATCCAAGGCGTACCAGAGAGGGCAAGTCCACCGGCCAGAGTTGTAGTGGCGTCAGCACTGGATCGATTTGACTTCTCGCCGAAGATCGTTAACAATAGCATCTTCCATGTTGCCGGTCATCGCCGTGTTGGTCCTCAATCTCATCGCTTTCTTCCTCGCCGTCGCCGCCGAACAGAGATGCACCATTCTTCTTCGCTACCATTAACACATGGGAAATACTTTTGGGGACAATTATTTGGGCCAACAATCTTTTGGGCCATCACCGCGTGGGACACCAGCGGTGAATGACCCGGAAGTATTCACCGTATGCAATCAGGGCGGTGAAGCGTTCATCGCTTTTGACAGCCGCGGTGATGTTATTCACTGCGGTTGACGGCAGCGGTGAAGTCCAAACATGTGTAGATTGAGAATATTTTTTATAACGTATGTATTTTTGTTTGTCTATCTAGGGTTAGGGATTAGAAATGAAACGAAGAAGGGAAAGTTGGAACTCGATCGACAGAAGGGAAAGGGAATAGATATTGCAGTCACCCTTCTGACTTTCTCAGTTAAAAACAGTGGGCTTGCTTTATAAAGGCCCAACGAGGATTTAAAACAATTAAGCAAAGATGGGCTCTTGAACTTAAGCCCACTTGAAGCACTGATAATGACTGACTGGATTCTGCTCGGTCTTTGAAAAACAGAGACAGAACAGAAGGCAAAGTGAAAAACAGAGAGACGAGAGGAAGAAGGCAGCAAGACACAAAGACCAGATTTTTAACGAGGTTCACCCAAACATGGCTACGTCCTCGTCTCAGCAGTCGTACCCACTCCTGCTGAGAGACACTATATTTTCTGTTTATATGATCTCGAGACACAAGCAGAAATAAAAGGCTAGAGTTACACAAATTCAGAAACACGAAATTGAAACCAGAGTAAACAAACTCTGAACCAAATTCACCCTCTCTCACAGAACCTATACCCCTGGAGAAGAGACCCTTTTACTCTCAAGTGCAAGCCCTATGCCGCTGTTGCTTCTTGCTTTGTAAAAGTGACTCTGACGAGGTGGAGATGATCGAATATATAGTGACATCAACATAATCGTTGTCCTTCACTAGCCGTTGAGAGAAATCAGCACCTTCCTTGTTTACCAGCACCTTCCTTGTTAGAACTTGCTAGCTCTGATCTCGCCCAACAATTTTGAGAATTTTTTTAAAAAACATGTGTATTTTGAGATTTTTTCCGGGAAAACGCCTTTATGTATAATGAGCTCAAGTGTTCGAATCCCACCGGCTTTTTTTTCCACTTTGTTCTGCCACACTCACACGCTGCCGTTTTGCCCTGGAATCCAAGCGACATCTACAGGCTACTACAGCCATTTCTCGTCTCCCTCCACATGACCACATCAGTCGCCTCTCCCATCCCTGCTCCAGTCGGCAAATCATGGTCCATGAAATCGTACCGTACCGGTGGTTCAACCACGAAATACCAGTATCGGAGGTTAAACCGGTAGGCGGTATTTAACGGTACAACGGTTGAACTACGGTTAAAGCACGATTTTACCATAAAATACCCTACCACTGACTTTTCCAGTATGGTCTCCGGTACGGTTTCATGGACCATGCAGCAAATGCGAACGGTGCCGATTTCCATCCCTCACCTTTCGAAGCTTCATCTGGCAAAGAGAAGATAGTAGCAGCGGTAACTCTTCCTCCTCCTGCCGGCAAACCCTGCTCGAACCTTCATCCTTGGCGTCTGAGAAACTCGAGTCGGCAAAAAGAAGTTCTGTTTCGTTATATATATAATTATGGGTTGAGTTTTATAATCGTATTGCTATGTTCATACTACATCAGCTTTGAGCAATCGCCATTTTTTATTGTTATTTGGATTCAGATGTTTTGGTCATTCCAAACTTAAACTTAGCCGTGTGTGATAAAACTTCATAGCAAACTTCTAATATTCCTGTCAAACTGTCTTGTTGCACATCTTTGTGTGTTACCATTTGCCATTTGATATCTTTGTTCTCTCAGGTAGGTCTAACAAAAGATTTATCCGTGTGAACATTATTAGTAGTTCCAAACTTATGTGATTAACAATTATAATAATAATTAGAGTTGTATGATACTCAATGAATAAAATTTTGGTAATCAAGTACCAAAAAACGGTATGAACCAACTAAACAGATTTTTTTTTCGAAATTCAGTTTCAAAACTCACCAAAATTCTCAACTATATGTGATTCAAAATTATAATAATAATTAAAGATGTATGATACTCAATGAACAAAATTTTGGTAATCAAGTACCAAAAACGGTATGAACCAACTAAACAAATTTTTATTTTCGGAATTTAGTTTCAGAACTCACCAAAATTCTCAGCTAAACAAATTTTCTTCATATTTTTTTTCACGAACCACGAGCTCATTTCCATTTTATTTTGTTTTCTATTGCCCCAACAATAAGAAACGAAATGGCAAGTGAACGGTCCATTAACTTCTGGAGTATATTTCTTTCTGAACATCATAAATTTGGCAAAGGAGGTGGTGATTCTTAGCCATAAAAGCTTTTGGCTTTTGTTTTTTATTTCTTTATTCTTGGACAATTACATAATTTCCAATTTTAAGTTAGGACGATAATATAAATTATGACAAAATTTATGGATCGCTTGCTTTGTGGATTTGAAAAATAAGAGTTTTGGTAAAATCTGAATTTTGAAAAACCATGGATATATGATGGATTTGGTAGCATTATGGATTTGATCAAATCTATTATTTGCTTGTTGGATTTGATTATGAATTTTGTTTAATTATATTTGTGGATATAAATTCAAATTATCTTGTTACCCTTATTTCTATATTATCATCCAAAATTTTCATTAAAAACAAATCCAATACATATAAAGAAAATGTACTCTTTACCACTACTATGTAGACTAATAATTAAACTACAAATATAGACATGTATCACAATTTGGCACTAATTAACAATTCATCTAATCATGTACACAATATTATGTATAAGTTGCAACTAGTTGCTCGCGTTATTGCTACAACTCATCATCTTCATGCTAACTTCCAATTTTGGAATCCGACAGTCGATCAAATAATAATGTACAAGATGATCATAAGGTGTTTTTAGTTGAATCCAACAAATCACATACACATTATATTTAAATAAAATACGATATTATAAACGTTTATAGTTGCATACCCATTAACATTAAAAATAAGTAAGGCTAGAAGGGTAAATTACTATCATGAATTATAATCTATAACCTAAATCTCACCTTAAGAGGTGGAACTTTCTAGTCCGTGGGACTCACGAATTTGGACCCCTAAAGACATGGCCCCACGGATCTCATATTCCTAATTCCTTAAAGCAAATGATGGGTTGTTGTTCAAGTCAATGATGGATGAGTTTCCATCACCAAATCCATTATCAAAACCTTCAACCAAACGACGCTAGTAATCAGTTATTTTTTACATTGAAAAGTTGAGGTACTGTTTAAAATGATTTTATCATTTTATTACTTTTTTTTTACTGAATCATTTTATTACTGAAAACACAATAACATGTATTATTGTTGAAATCTATAATAATCATATTCATCTATCCATATACAATAAAATATAAAATAAACATTAATGATAAACCAAACCTACTCTTTAACACCCACCTTCCTAACAACAACGGACAGGAAACACAACGTGTGATATATATTTATACATGCATTTCTTGTTCCTACGGACTTAGGAGTCATGAGCTCTAGTAGTCTACATCTACACAATATATTATGCACTTCACTTTATTGTATTGTTGTCACCTTGCATTTTGATTGGTTCTCCTAATTTGGTGGAAGGGCAATTTTGCCCATTTTTTAAACACTCAAGGGCCACTCATTATTATTGGACTTTTGGGTTCCTTTTTACTAAATGTGATTAGTATTAAAGGAAAAGAATATTTATTTTAAGGTAAATGCTATTATAATAATTATTTGGACTTTGCTCTGTTTAGATTTATTTTGTGTGGTTAAGGAAAAAACAGAGGCGTTCAACGAAAAAAAAAGAGGCTATCTAAAGTTGTTTAGCTCCCGAATGAGATAATGATTGCGAATTGAATTTTGAGATGACGAAGATGATATATCATTGTGGCGTGGATGTTTGGGAAGAGGTTCCTTCTTAATAGGTTTTTTCGCATTAGGTTTCTACATTAAACAGATAAACCAAGTATCAACCTTTAAAAGCTTTAGAATCTTAATTTCACAATGATTTCGACAAACATGAAGAAGAAGAAAATTGAGAAATCTTGGCAAAATACAATCAATTTAAATAGTTTTTAATTCTTTTAATTTTCAAATTAGCATGTCTAATTTTTTTCATCAAATTTTGAAAGGTAAGATCGCATGCTTAGTCGTAGGTTAAAACATAATTCCATCCATATCGTATCAACTCGATATTTATGTCGAATTAGATCAAACAAAAAATATTTGAATTTTTTTACTCTATGTAATTGCTTAAAGTCGAGATATGTTTTATTAGAAAATTATTAAAAGTAAAATCTGGTCCAATGGAATAACTTAAATGCTTCTTCAACCTAATTACGCTATTATTTACATCTATACTATTTACATGAATGAATAGTTCCATTAACGATTACAAAATAGTTGTATAATGATAAACCATTTTTTTACAGTTATAATGATAACCCATTAATCGTGAGTCATTGACATTTTTCATCCGACAACCGCTCCGCTTTTGAAAACATAGGGTATAGTCAATAAAATATTTAAAAATATGAGCTTATTGTTAAGGTTGACTCTGAAAATGAATAACTTACAAAGGCCATTTCAAGTCAAAATATTATTTTGCTGATATTTTTCATTTTTGACTACTTTAAAAATATAAATTTAATACATTTATACTAATATTTTTGGATTTGTTTACATAATTGTCCAAATAATCTATTTCCATGTCACATTTTTTCTCCTCAAATTTTTGTATCTTTAACTAT